GCCTAAAGCAATTTCTAACAGATTTGGTAGTTATTTCCTAGCCTATGCCACCCATGGGGACAGAAATCAGATGTCACAGCCAAGACACTACAGCAGATATAGACGCTGCAAGGTTATTTTCCCCAGGCTGGAGATCTATAACCAGCAGGACATACTGTCTCAGCATAAAGGATCAGCCATTTAGGAATGGGGTGGGGAGGAGAAATTTCTTCACTCAGAAGGTTGTAAATGTTTGGCATTCTCTACCCCAGAGGCTGTGAATACTCAGTCATTGAGTAAATTCAAAGCTGCGGTGAATAATATGTTTGGGCACTCAGGGGATCAGGATTAGAACAGGGGAGTAGAATTAAGTTGAAAGATAACTTGTGATTTAATTCAATGGTGGCATGTCTTACTCCCACTCTTTTTTTCAGAAAATTTGAAAAGCTGGTACAGAATATTTGTGGAAACACCCTTTTTCAGTGGAAGCCTTGTGGCGTGTTTGTAGAAAACCACCATCCACACGGAAAACACAGAAACAAAGAGCAGTTGTCAGCCATTCAGCCCTTGGATCCCGCTCTGCCTTTAATATTACCATGGTTGATCATTCAACTCCGTATCTGGTGCATGCTTTCTCCCCATAGCCTTCAAACGCTTTAGCCCCTAAGAACTATATCTAAGTCCTTCTTAAAAACATTCAATGTTTTGACCTCGACTGCTTTGTGTTGCAGAGAATTCCACGGGCTCACACTCTCTGGGTGAAGAATATCTCCTCATCCTAGTCCTAAATGGCCTATTCTGTAACCTTAGTCTGTGACCACTGGTTCTGGATTCCTCTATCATTGGGAACATCCTTCCTGCATTTACCCTGTCTGGTCCTCTTCGAATTTTATCAGCATCTGAGATATATCCCCACATTCTCCTAAATTGCAGTGAATATAGTCCTAGCTGAAACAGTCTCTCTTCATGTGTCAGACCTGCTATCCCAGGAATCAGAGATAACACAGTGTGGAGCTGGATGAACACAGCAGGCCAGGCAGCATCAGAGGAGCAGGAAAGCTGACGTTTCGGGTCGGGACCCTTCTTCAGCTTTCTTACTCCACTGATGCTGCCTGCCCTGCTGTGTTCCTCCAGCTCCACACTGTGTTATCTCAGACTCCAGTATCGGCAGTTCTTACTATCCCAGGAATCAGTCTGGTAAACGTTTGTTGCAATCTCTCCATAGTCAGAACATCCTTCCTCAGACAGAGAGAACAAAACTGCACACAATACTCCAGGTGTGGTTTCACCAAGGCCCTGTACAATTGCAGGATGACATCCCTGCTCCTGTATTGGAATCCTCTCGCGATGAAGGCCAACATACCATTTGCCTTCTTCACTGCCTGCTGCTCCTGCAATGCTGACCTTCAACAACTGGTGCACAAGGACACCCAGGTCTCAGTGCACCTCACCCTTTTCCAACCTATCACCATTCAGATAATAATCTGCCTTCCTGTTTTTGCTGCCAAAGTGAATATCCTCACATTATACTTCATCTGTCGTGCATTTGCCCACTCAATGAACATGTTCAAATCACACTGAAGCAATTCTGAATCCACCTTGTAATTCATCCTCCCACCCCAACTTTGTTTCATCTGCAAACTTGGAAATATTACATTTAATTCCCTCATCTAAATCATTAATACATATTGTGAATAGTTGGGGGCCTAGTACTGATCCCTGCAGTACTACAATAGTCACAGGCAGCCAATTGGAACTAGTTGGTTAGCTCGGTTGTCTGGATGGTTGGTTTATAGTGCAGAATAATACTAACAGCATGGGTTCCATACCCACACTGGCTGAGGTTACCATGAAAGATGCTGTTTCTCAACTTGCACCCTTTAGCTGAGTTGTGGTGACCCATCACCAGTTGTGTGTCTCTCTAATGAGACAGCAGTCTTATGGTTCACATGGTGAAATATCTTTACTCCGAGAAAGACTCACTTAATTCTACTGTTTCTTTCCTCCCACCAAAGAGTTTTCTATTCACGTCAGTATGCTAGCCCCAGTCCCATGCACATTAATTTTGTCTACTAATCTTTTATGTGAAACCTTACTTAAAGCCTTCAGAAAGCCCAGTAAACCATATCCACAAACTCCACTTTATCTATTCTATTATTTACATCCTTGAACAATTCCAATAGATTTGTCAAGCGTGACTTTCCTTTTGTAAATCCATACTGACTCTGTGTGATCCTGTCACTGTTTTCCAAGTGCATAAGGTGTGACACTTTACAGATCAGCAGCCAAAGAGTTAGGACAGGTAAAACACCCTGTAAGTCAGTGTGTGAAAGCCTGACACTTGGAGGAAGATACTGTGGAAATGGAATATGAGGGACCTTGCTGAAATCTTTATTCATAGGCTCAACTGGATTGTTCCTGCCCCTCAGGAAAGCAGGCTTTGGGCCATGAGGATGTAGGCCAGCCCTTGCTGAGTGTGAATCTGTCAAAAGCATCAAGGAGGGTGAATTTGGAAATGCTTGTGCTGCGAAGTTGGGGAGAATAGTTGTGGATTAGGAGGCAGCAAGTTAGAACTTGGTGTTTGTAAAATGCTACAGGGGAAAAACATTGTTTGGTCCCTTTAATAAATGATGTGCCTTTTCTGTGTTTAGAGATTTAAAATGGATGTCTGTGAGCAGCAGCTTGAAAGTTTGCAAGCACACAGACAGCACCCAAATTGAAACATTTGTACCAAAAGGCCATTCAGTTAGCAGGCCAAGCAGCAGTTTTTACCAAGACAACAAGCTTTTGAATTTAGCCAATCAATTTGAACCAGGCACTTAGATACCAAAAACCAATTAAATTTAAACCTGATGGTTTTGACAACATCGTACCAATCCTATTGTAAGAAATATTGATATGTCATCAAGGGTATAAAAGGGGGCAGTTAGACAAAGGCCAGAGAGGTAACTGCCATCTGCCAGAGCTAACAGCCCTCAGCTCTCAAGAGAGAATCGCTGGCTCTCACAGTCTCCTCTAAGATTTAGAGAAAGCACCATCTAAATAACAAAGGTGCCAACAGTACAACTAGTGAATATTCCTGACAGAAGAATCAATGGAGAGGGCACAGAGCCATTCTGGAAGACATGTAGCCTGCTGTAATTTTGAGAGACTAAATTGTTTTGTTTATATATAAGTAGGACTTGTATTTATTGGAAGAGCATACCATTAGAATCTTGCTTTATTTGGGAATAGTTAGTAGTTAGAAGTGATTTATTCAGTTTGTTCATAGTTTATTTAATTTGTTCACTGTTAGAGTTAGATAAATAAATTGTTGCTTGTTGATTTTAAAATGAGTGTCAGGGATTTATTTTATTTAACCTTTAGAAGTTGCTGAAAGGCAGGTAACGCCACTTTTCACACTCCTTTTACAGATTATGGGGCGAGGTCCTCCTCTTTGGGTGTTTTGATTTTAGTTTTGAGAGGAGGGTCAACCTCTGCTTTATAACACTTGTATTTGCTCAACCCTGATGCAGTTGGGAACCTACTATGCAGTCAGGTTGAGTAGCTGGATCTGAATTGAAACTAATTTGTTTGGAGTATAAAAGCAAGGTAATGGTGAGAACATAGCAGCTTGACTAGAAAACTCAGCACATTGAGCTGGTGATTGGGGAGAGTGAATACAGAAGGTGAAAAGTAGAATACTAAAAGAGGCAGTTATCAACAGGAGGAATTTGGAGCAGGTGGAAAAGAGAAAGCAGAATACTTTAATTGAATATAAACAAAAATGAGGGGACATTTAGCTCAGTTCACCTCAGTGTGGTTCAAATGTGTGCTGTCACCAACAGCATAGTTCAAGTCCTATTTGAGTTGAATTGTTCTTACAACAGTCAGGGATGGCTTATTCAATTCAAGTTCCAGCAGCTGCCCATGTGGGATTGGACCCCTTGCCCCTCCAGGGCAATAACCTGGGTCTCTAGATTACTGGCCACTATCTTGCCTTAAGTGTAAGGATTGACAGGTTAGAGCAGGAGTGTACTGAGCAAATCAGTCTCTCAAGTTTGAGGCATCATTGCCTTGTGGGAAAGATGAGGACCCTAGGAAGAAAAATCTGATAAATAGCCATGGCACTTCAATAAGAGTGAGTGGGCTAAAGGTAGGAAGGTAGGGCTAACCGTCCAATGCCCCTCAATTGAACCTGCCTCCACCTAATTTCCAGGCAGTACATTCCAGATCCTAACTACTATATACTTGATTAATTTTTATCTCGCATCATCCTTGCTTTGTTTGCACATCACTTTAAAAATACGGCCCTCCCGTTCTTTTTTTTTCTTTTCTGAGTGGGAACAGTTTCTGCCTGTCTAGTCATTCCAGCCCTCTCATGATTTTGAAAACCTCAATAAAATCTCGTCTCAGCCTTCTTCTCTCTAGGGTGAGCAGTCGTAATGTCTTCAATCTGTCCTCATCACTGAAGTTCCTCATTCCTAGAACAAACAAAAACAGGAAGTGCTGGAGAAACTCAGCAAGTCTGGCAGAATCTGTGGAGAGAGAAACTGAGTTAGCATTGTGAGTCCAGTAACACTTTGCCAGCCTTTTTTTTTCTCTCTGTTTTCTCCCCACAGATGCTGCCAGACCTATTGGGTTTCTCTGGCACTTTGTTTTGTTTGTGTCAGATCTCCAGTTCTTCATTTTATTTCTCATCCCTGAAACTATTCTTTAAAATAATTACAGAGATAGTAGGAACTGCCGATGCTGGAGAATCTGAGATAACAAGGTGTAGAGCTGGATGAACACAGCAGGCCAATTAGCAATGAAGGAGCAGGAAAGCTGACGTTTTGGGTCTAGACTCTTCTTCGGAAGGGTTCTTTCTGAAGAAGGGTCTAGACCCGAAACACCAGCTTTCCTACTCCTCTGATGCTGCTTGGCCTGCTGTGTTCATCCAGATCTACATCTTGTTATCTTTAAAATAATTACATTTGTTTGAGATGAAATGCAATAATGACAGAGACCTTGATTAAAACTTAAAAAAGAAACACACTTACCGAGCAGAATGATGATACAGAGCAGAATGGCTATAAGGGCTCCTGTGCTGAGGCCAGGAGGAAGGATTATTGCTTCAGTATTACAAGATTGCATAGTCCCGTCACTGTCACAGGCACACACTCTGATCAGCAAGGTATTCGTGCTGCTCTGTATGGGATACTCCTTGTCAGCAATGAGGACAGGCAGAAGATAGGTGCTCATGTCTTGACGACGAAATCCACCTCTCCTGGTTAGAATTCCAGCTGTGTTATCTGAAAGTGACATTCGACAAGAAAGAGTCAAATCATTTACTCTGTACGGTTCCCCTTCACTTCTTTCACAACCAGAAGATTCAAAACTAACACATTTTTGTTCTCTGATATGTATTGTTTGATTTTTACATTTTGTTCATGCCTTAAAAATCTGTCGTATTCCTACCTGCTGCTCTTCATGCATTCATTTTATCTGGCAACTTTATAATTCTAACAATGTTTTCTACTTCCATGCAACTTGCATTTTACATGATGTTTGGAACTGGTAGAGATTACTAATCGTTGTTGTGTTAGTTTGCAGCCCAGTCATGTTGTTTAGATTGTTAATATTCTTTAATAATATTCAATTTTGACAAAGTTCAAATCTAAAAAAAAAGTTGAATATTGTTGCTTTACAACGTACAGAGTCCAATACATTTTAGGATTCTTTGTTTTAACAGGATGGGCTCCTGCTTAAATGAACAGAATTGACCATTATCCATTCTAGTTTTAACAACACATGATCACTTTCCTTTCCAGAAAAACTGGAAAGACTGAGCTATCTGAGGTTGAAGATTCAAGGAGGTGCAATCTAGGAAATGGGCACATTCTCACAGATTGCAGAGGTCCTAAATCCCGTGAAAGGTGCAATGGTCCCATGACTGTGTGTCCTGTAGAATGAGATGTTTGTGCTGGTGCACATTTCTGGAAGATCAAATTACTTGGATAGTGTATGTTCCTATAGGTGAGAAGATCAGGCGTTCCTATAGGTGAGATGGTCAGGTGTTCCTATAGGTGAGAAGGTCAGGTGTTCCTATAAGTGAGATGGTCAGGTGTTCCTATAGGTGAGAAGGTCAGGTGTTCCTATAGGTGAGATGGTCAGGTGTTTCCATAGGTGAGAAGGTCAGGTGTTCCTATAGGTGAGATAGTCAGGTATTCCCATAGGTGAAATGGTTGGGTCTTCCTATAGGTGAGATCCTTGGGTATTCCTATTGGTGAGGTGGTCAAGTTTTCATGTAGATGAGATAGTTGGGTGTTCCTATAGGTGAGATGATCAGGCGTTTCTGTAGGTGTGATGGTTGGGTGTTTCCATAGGTGTGATGGTTGGGTGTTTCAATGGGTAAGATGGTCAGATGTTCCTATAAGTGAGATGGTCAGGTGTTCCTATAGGTGAGATGTTCGGGTGTTCTGATGGGTGAGATGGTCTGATATTTTTGTAAAGTGAGATGGTTATGTGCTGTATGTTTCTGTGGACAGAAATGGAATGGTGTACAAAGTGAGATGGCATGGATGGTATATAATCAAAGAGAGTGAGAAGCCATAGTGATACACTTGAGGATGGGATGTCTGTGCTCTGGACTTAAGAGGATCAGCTGCAGATATTTCATGGTGATTCTCCAGATATCCTATGTCATAAATGAGAGTGATTGGTGGAACCAAATTTTTTAAAAAGGCATTAACAGACTTACTATCTTGGCATTGCAGTGCTAGGAGAACAGGAAAACCTATTGTGAGACTTCACTGCTGGTAGATTTGTATAATTCAAAATACTTAACTTATCAAATATACTAGAAAGTCTTAATGTATATGTATTATTAGGATGCTGTCAAGGCATTCTTAATGTTGGTGGTTCTTTAAATTTCAAATAGTATAATGTAGCTAATGGGGGGAAAAAAAACTGTGGAATTCTAATTAGGACATTTTCTTCCTTGTGTTCCAGTGGTTCTAAGTTTAGCAGTAAACAGAAACCGAGACTGCAAGAAATGTTTGAAATTCCCTGAGGGCTAGAGTTATCCAGGGTCTGTTATCAAAATGGGAGAAGGTAAAATTGGATAGTTGTGGGAAAGCCATCAGCACTCTTCCCATTGTCTAAGACTTGCTAATATTTGGTTAGAAATTGTTAGATTGTGTTGACACAGGAGCATGTACCTGGACTAAGGGAAAAGGTAGACCAACAGGGTTTGGAGTTGTGTTTCCTGCTGTGGACCACCTAGTGATTTGTTATACCCTGAGATTATGTAATTGCTGTTAACTGCAATCTATAGTTAGGTGTCACCTTTACGATGGATACCCCTGGATGAAATCTGGAATGCACTGCAAGGAGAGTGGTTGAGGTGAGAAACCTTACAACCTTTAAAAAGTATTTGGATGAGCACTTGAAGTGTCATAACATTTAAGATTATGGGCCTGGTGCAGCATGATGGGACTCAGTAAGCATATGTTTTTGGCAGGACAGACTTGATGGGTGAAGGGCCTCCTCTGTACTGTATCATTCTATGACTCAAGCAGGTAAAAAGGAGGATTGGTCCAGGCCATTTCATTCTGCTGTTGATGATTGCTGAAACACGCCTGGATGTTTCCAGTTTATTTCCCCAAATCCTCTTCTTGGCACACCATTTGCAGCTTGGCGTTTGCATGTGCCATCTGAGACAAATTTATATTTTCAAAAGGCTGAACTGGGAGGTGCTGTGGTGAAAGTTCACATTGGGCCAGATGTTCCTTTTCATGCAAAAGCTGACATTAGGATGGCCAAGGGAATTAATAAAAGGCACAATTGGAAGATTCTTAAAAGGATAAAATTAATTATGCCAAGGCTAAGAATAAACTCTGCTTCATTTCCATATGTATTATGTTTCTTATAATACATATTCAAGATAATAAATCATGCAATATTTCAATCTAAGCTATAAACATATCTTTTTCTGAGCTACATGATCGATGAACTTACTTTCTTTGTGACACAATGTTGTAACTTAAGCTCCTTGACATCATCCATTGTGGGAAAAAGAGGATATATTGCATGTAGAAATCACTGGTAAACTGAGTAGGAACAAAATGCAGACCGCTGTGTTCTGTAACTCTAATGCTCTTCCATACAGTCTAGGTTAAAGCAGGATGGAGCTAACAGTAGTTGGGATTTAAAGTTTTTTCAGCCATAGTTAATGACATTAGGTGGAATCCCTGCAACCACATTTCTGCCTTGTAATACATGAGCTTACAAACGTGTGAACAAGGAGCAGGAGTAGGCCTTTTAGGGGGATCAGTGTAGTACCTTCAGTGTGTCAGCTTTGTGTACATAATGCAGAGTAACAATAGTAAAGACTAAACCTAGGCTACATGTGTTAGTCTGTATGACTGTAGGCAGGTATATAATTAGGGTTTTAAATAAATTTCAAGATATTTGGCTCAATAACAACCTAACTCTCTGAGTTATTTACTACATTGGCTAACATATAAAAACCACAAATCATGTCAGAAAATCCTCAGTTGCTCAAGCAGATGTATGTTAACTGTTGGAGCCTGGTCTGCTGAGCATTTCTAGCACCTTCTGTCTCTGTAACATGTCACTGTGTCGCCACCCCACCCCACCCCACCACTTGGTTCTGGGTTAAAAACCCTACCTTCATTATCCAGAACTGTGAAATTGGGATTGTTTGCAGATTCTGGAGCCAAGCTAAAGAAGAATCTGGATCCACTTGGTGGTGAGTCCTTATCCACAGCTCCAACAGTTTGTATCAGCTGTACGTTAAAGCAATGTAAAAATCAGTTCTACATAACTATCCATATTGTTGAACACGCATAAATATAGCTGTATATAAGCAAAACATGGAGCAAAACCTGAGTAGTCATGTGGTGTACAGATACGTACCATTTGCACCACAGTTTTTAAATACTGATTTCCGTAAAATATATAACTTATATTTATATAGCACCTTTCAGATAATTTGACCTCAAGCAGAGATTTGGTCAAAGAGATAGATTTTGAACATAGAACATAGAACAGTACAGCACAGTACAGACCCTTCAGCCTACGATGTTGTGCCGACCTATTATCCTATTAAGATCAATCTACCCTGCATACCCTACATTTTACTATCATCCATGTGTCTATCCAAGAGTCGCTTAAAAGTCTTTAAAGTATCTGACTCCACTACCACTGCTGGCAGCGCATTCCACACACCCACCACTCTCTGTGTGAAGAACCTACCTCTGACATCTCCCCTATACGTTCCTCCAATCACCTTAAAATTATGCCCCCTCGTAATAGTCATTTCCGTCCTGGGAAAAAAGTCTCTGGCTATCCACTCTATCTATGCCTCTCATCATCTTGTACACCTCTATCAAGTCACCTCTCATCCTTCTTCGCTCCAATTAAAAAAGTCCTAGCTCCCTCAACCTTTCCTCATAAGACCTGCCCTCCAGTCCAGGCAGCATCCTGGTAAATCTCCTCTACACCCTCTCTAAAGCTTCCACATCCTTCCTATAATGAGGTGACCAGAACTGAACACAATATTCCAAGCGTGGTCTAACCAGGGTTTTATAGAGCCGTAGCATAACCTCGCAACTCTTAAACTCAATTCCCCTGCCAATGAAAGCCAACACACCATATGCCTTCTTTAAAACCCTATTAACTTGGGTAGCAACTTTGAGGGATCTATGGACATGGACCCCAAGATCCCTCTGTTCCTCCTCACTGCCAAGAATCCTGCTACTAACCCTGTATCCTGCATTCAAATTCAACCTTCCAAAATGAATCAGTTCACACTTTTCTGGGTTGAATTCCATCTGCCACTTCTCTGCCCAGCTCTTCATCCTGTCAATGTCCCGTTGCAACCTACAGCAGCCTTCCACGCTATCCACAACTCCACCAACCTTCGTGTCATCGGCAAACTTACTAACCCACCCTTCCACTTCCTCATCCAAGTCATTGATAAAGATCACAAAGAGCAGAGATCCCAGAACAGATCCCTGCGGAACACCACTGGTCACCGAGCTCTAGATATATTTTGAGGAATGTCTCGAAGGAGAAGAATTCAGGGAGGGATTGGTAAGGCTTAAATTCTGAGCAACTGAAGGCACGGCTAAAAAATGCCACGGATAGTTCAGGTCAGGAACGAACCAGAGATCAAAATAGGACAAGCACAAAGATTGGAGACAGTTTGCAACGATGCAGGGGGTTAGGAAGGCATGAAGCCATGTAAGAATTAAGAACAAAGGGATGAAAATTTCGATATTGAGGTATTACTGTAACCAGAGCCAATGTTGATTCAGTCAGGATGGATTAGTAACAATGTTATTTTAAATGAGTCAAGAGTGACATTGTCAGACACATTAAGTACACCTCTGCTGAAATAACCACCTGTAAATGTTCGACTCAAGTATCTTGTTCATCAGTGTCCAAATATCACTGCTTGAAGGGTATGTTTGTGGAGTGTTATGATCCCACCTGATGGTAACATTGGACACCAGTTCCAACACTGAAAGGTGGCTTGATAGAGCATATGTTTAAATGTTGCATTTAATTAATATGTGGGTTGGTCACTGAAACATATTCACATGATGCTGGAAATATTCTTTAACAACAGAACATACATTTATTACAAAAAAAGAACAAAAAAAAAACTTTATATCTGAGATAGATAGATCTTAACACAAACAGCAAAACAAAATTTCTACATGTTCCTAACACTATCTTGTTTTACTCAATTCCAGAAAAATCTAACTCCTACCTTAACTCTTTAAGTATTAACTTACAGTCATAGAGTCAAACAGCACAGAAACAGGCCCTTCGGCCCACCATGTCTACGCCCACTCTGCCCTCTGAAATGGCCCCAGTACGTCACTCAAGGGGCAAATAGGGATGGATAATGAATATGCTGGCCCAGCTAGTGACACTCACATCCCGTGAATGACTAAAACAAAATGTGACAATGACTTCAGCTGTCACTCAAGAGAGACTGGTAGAAGGTTGGCTAAGAAAAAAGAAGTCAACTGCAAAATTATCAGGTATAATTAAATATTGTCTGAAGAAATATAGTGAGATCTGACTTGAGCATATTACAGCCACATACATAACCGGATTCCTGTACAATGAGTGAACTCACAGAACGTGTGATCCCAAAAAATTCATAAAAGTCCTAAATTTTATGTAATAAAAGTCGGATTTGACTTGTTAAGACACTAGAAGCCAATGGCCTAAATTACAAAAAGGTAGAATCGTAGAATCATGCAGCACGGAAACAGACCCTTTGGTCCAGGTATGCTAAACTGAACTAGTCCCATTTGCCTGTGTTTGGCCCACATTCCTCTAAACCTTTCCTAATCATGTATCTGTCCAAATGTCTTTTAAATGTTGTAACTGTACCTGCCTTTGCCACTTCCTCTGGCAGCTCACCCTCTGTGTGAAAAATTTGTCCCTCAGGTCCCTTTTAAATCTTTCCCTTCTCACCTGGCATGATGATTTTTGATTCCTAAACACTGATAAAGGCCAGAACTTGAGCATTTGATGCCAAGATTACTAAATGGAAGCATTTTGGCACTAACATTTCAATGCATTACTGAGGCAGTGTTGCACTGCCAGAGAACTAACCCTGAATGATATTTTAAAGCTGCGTGCTATCAGCATATCCTTGTGGCTAAAATAGATGTGAAAGCTTCCCTGATACTAGGAACATTGGAACTGGAATAGGCTATTTAGTTCCTTGAGCTTGTTCTGTCATTCAATGAGATCATGACTGATCTGTGACCTATAGTCCCATTTACCCAAATCTTGTAATAACTGGAGTCAAAAAGAATTTAACTGAGCTCAGAGTTAACATTAACAATTGATCTATTGTCAATTGCTATTGCAGAAGAGAGTTGCAAATTTTTAATATCCTTCGTATGCCCTTACTATTCAAAGTACAAGGAAGTCCTCCCTGTGACATGGAGAACATTGATCCCACAATCAACACCATCAGAAGGTAGATTAGCTAGCTATTCAATTCATTTTCCTAGATTCGTTTACAGTTTGCGAGTTTCGCTGGTGAGCCCAGCTTTACTATCCATTCCTAAGTACCTGTAAGAATGTAGCGGTCTTAAGAATGTAGTAGTGAGAACAATTGACTGAATTTACTCATTTCAGAGGGCAGCTAAAAGTCAATCACTTTGTGAGCGTCATGTACAGAAGATAGATATCTTTTCCTCAAAAGGCATTAGTGAATAAGACAACATGGCAATCCAATAGTTTTCTGTTACTGTTACTGATTCCAGCTTTTCAATCCAGATTTATACTGTTAATTAAATTGAAATTTCCCAGTCGTCATGGTGGGATTTGAACATTACTGTCTGGATCATAAGCAAAGGTCTCCCATTTACCAGCCCAGTAATTTAACCATAATGTTATTATAACTCTAAATTAAAGTGCTGGGACTCTGCAGTATGCAAATTGGTTATCATGATTAATTAAAGGGCAGTGTTTTGAGACGTCTTTAGGATTCGATAAAGTGTTAAAAGTTTATAAATCCAAGTTCTTTTATGTATCTATGATTCTATCCCGGTATCCCGTGCAATAAAGATGGAAATTAATTAAGTTTGTCACTGTACACCAGCTGTTTTGGTTATTAACTTGATTATTTCAATAATCTTCACACTAACTCAACACCCCATACTATTTGTAAACATCAGGTCATCAATTATACTGTCACATCTAACTGATTCTGCATTGATTGCAGCTCACACATCACCTCACTTATCAGTTGTCCCTGAAATGACCGTCAGTCCCATAATGCCTACACTACAGGAGTTCCTCAAGGTAGCATTCTAGAACCTTCAGCTATTTGAAGAATTATCTTCCTTGCATCAGGAAAAGCACTTACTGTTCACTAATGACTGCAGTGTGTTCAGCTCCATTCTCAATCCTTCAGAGAATGAGGCAGCCTGTGCTCTCACACAGCAAGATGTGAACAGTGCCCAGGCTTGGGCTGACATCTCACATGCATGCCACATAAAGATCAACTAATAACCATACACAAACAAGCCTCAGCCACGTCACTACTCTTCACTGTCCAATGGTGTCGTTACTGTCAAATTTCTCCTGCTCAGTTTCTTGGACAGTCAACACTGAATAGAAGCACAGCTGGTGTGGCTACACAAACATCTTAACTAGTAAACCAAATCAGTGGTTGAATATTATACAGCAAGTGGGTCACCTCTTTACTGTCCAGAACCTCATCATTACCCATCAGATGAGAGAGTTTGATGGACTTCTGTTGATATTAGGAATGCAGCTACAGCGACATTGAAGAACCTCGACACCATCCAAAACAAAGCAGTATTTGATCTGTACTTCATCCATCTTCACCATTCATTGTTCCACTGCTGATATACCAGTGGCAAAAGCGTGTACCCTCTACAAGATGCACTGTAATAACTCACCACGGCTCTTATGACAGCACCTTTCAACCTTATCCCCTCCATCTCCCAACTTGAAGCTGAAGTGCAATATCCTGATGTTGAAATAACCTGTTCCTTCATTGTCACTGGATCAAAATCCTGAAATTCTCACCTTAACAGTACAGGTTCAGTTTCCCCCTGCTAGCTGCAGGAAATGCCTCACTACCACTTTCTAATGGATGCTTAGGGATAACAAATAAGGCTACCCCAATCAGCAACACCCTGCTCATCCCAAAAATGAGTTTTCTTTAATGACAATTGTTGTTTTTGAAGGCTGCAGGATACTTAATATGGAAGTGGTTAAATAGGGCAGTTGGAGTTGATCCTCTGAGGTACGGCTTGAGGGAGACCACAATTATACATGTAGTTAGTGAGAAGGTTAAAATATGTATTTACGTATAGAATTCCAGGCACTGACCAACAGTGACATGTTAATGTGTCCCTATTATAGTAGGTCGCATTCTGAGTCTCAAATAAAACTACTGGCAACAAATTTACTTGCAAGTAAATTAAAATTAAGTAAACATTTTTTTTATTCTGATTTTTTGTTTTTATTGCACTCTTCAATTCCCTCTGGGTCAATTTCTTCTAGCTCCAGTTAAAGGACAAGTACGTTTTATTTGGGTAGATTTTATTATGGCCCAGATTGTCCACTCTTTGGATTTAGACACCCAAGATGTGTATCAGGTTACATTCTATAATGTATGGATAATGTCATGTCTCTTAAAGGTATACTTACTGTGAGACACAGTACAACATCCCCGTTTTTCCAATAAAAATATTCCCAAAATGGTTGTATACAGACATGTGTTATCAATTTGATAATTATATACAAACATTTATACAAATTCACAAAACTAAAATTTCAAACTTCAGTGCAAACTTTGGAGGCTGACAACTCATCCTGACTTAGTGACTGTATATACCTACCTGGACAGGTGTGCATTATTTTATAACTTACTTGTTTGACACCTTGGTTGTCTTGTTGCTGGTTACTGGCACTCAACATCTGTGCAAAATCATCATCGTCAGAATGTTCTGCCTCACTGTCTAGGTGTATGATTGTGGGTTATACATTGGTCTGAGCTGGCTTCTGTTTCTTTTCAATATGGTGATTAGTGATTTTGTATGATCTGGGCTGATTGCATATTCTAGAATCTTTTGCTGGTATCTAAGCATTTGTATTTGTATTGATTTCCAATTCACAGTCTGTGCCCAGAGCAATTTTGGGAGTGCTTTACCTTCTGGCTTATTGTGTAACTCTTCATATGTTCATGTTCAAAAGTGCACTGCAGCCTTTTAATACTTTTCTTTGTCTTAATTGAGGCAAAAATAAACATTATTTTGCTTAAGAAGAACTAGTAGTCTAATCAAAATTAAATTAGTTCTCTTTTCTTAGTGATTAATGCCCTATTTACAGATTAATTAATGTCCTCAGAAACTGATACAGTCTAGGGATGAAATTCTCTCTTGCCCGAAGCTGATCTCTATTGGTCATCAATTTGTTTTTCAAATAACTACTGCCAAATATTGGATTCTTTAATAGATAGCTATAGTTCATGGTATGAAATTTTGTCCAACAGAGCATTTTGTCTGATGTGGCAATGTTTATGCTACCTCCCATAATATACAAAATTGGGTGTGGATATTATGGTATTGAAGAATCTTACAGTCATTTGTTAAGTATTATGTACAAGTATTGCATTTGACAGGTACATAAGTGTCTGGGCTAATGTTAAACTATTAGTTATACAGAGAAACATCTTACACCAAAATGTCATGTTCCAAGTTGAGTTCTGATTGGAAATTTGGACAGAAAAATATTTTAACTAATTCACCAGATGTGGGCATCACTAGCTAGAACAGTATTTTACTACATATCCCTAACTGCCCAGAGGACAGATAAGAGTCAACCACGTTGCTGTGGGTGTGGAGTCACATATAGGCCAGACCAGGTAAGGATGGCAGCTTCCTTCCCTAAAGGACATTAGTAAACCAGATGGGTTTTACTCTGACAACTGACAACAGTTTCAGGGTCATCATTAGAGTTTTTATTTCGTTCTTTTAATATCCAGGAACTCTTACACACAACCAATTTTTTTCTTCCCATCACCAAATCACGTGTGGATATTTATTTCCTCTATTCATCAACACCACTAAATCACACATGTTTTTCATTTGATTAATTTACATGCAAAGCCTATTAAGTGCAATGTAGACCATTAAAGGTGAGGGAGAGGGGGCCAAATCAAAATGGAGTTGGAAAGAGACCAGTAGATTTCTAATTCCAGATTTTTATTGACTTCCATTTTCATTATTTGTCATTTCAGGGTTTGAATCTGGATCCTTAGAATTTACCTGGGTTTTTGATTTTAAGGCTAATGATAACACTAGTAGGCTATCACCTCCCCTACCATAGATTGGAGGGTTGCAGTTATATTTGCCGGCAAGTGGGTGTTTTCCTGACTGGTTAGCACAGGGAGAAAAGAGGTTCTGATGCTAATTGGAATGTTGGGCCCGTGATGTTAGCAGATTGATTAAGTCTCAGTGTCAAGGGGAAATAAGACTCAGATAGCTTGTTCGGCTTAAAAGGAAAGAATATGAAATAATGAGCGCGGATTGCAATGTATGATTGAATAGCCCTCCCTCATGGTACTGTGGTGGTGAGCTACGAAAAATCAGCCTTGTGTCAATGACCGGGCAATAAAGCTACTTCTCAATTCTAAATTCTCAATTCTACTCCTCCTCAACTCTGAAAACAGCTTACCTGGCCAGTCTTTGCATTTTCACAGACAAAAGTTTCATAAACCATGGGAAACTCGGGAGCATTATCATTGACGTCTAAAACCTTGATTAAAACTGGCACGCGGCTCGTTTGCCTTGAATTTTCCAAAACTGTAAAAAAGCACAAATAAACATAATTCGAAATGGCCAACGCAGTATCTGCTGAAGGATTCAAGAGAATTTAATCTGAGAATAACTCTGATAAGAGACCAAATCTACTTCAGAGGAGTCCCAGAAAATGGACCATTAAATTCAAGTTTATAACTCTGGAGTACTGGAACATGAGGAGGCCATTCAGCCATTCAGTGAGATTATGGTTGATCTCTATTCTACCCCCACTCACCGGACATGGGTCCAATAATAACCTATGTCTTGCAAAAACCTATCAATCTTGCATTTAAGTATTTTAATTGAGCTAGCAGTTATTATGAGAGGGTTTTGTTTTGCTTTGTTTCTATTCTTTCATGGGATGGGACCATTATGGGAAGACCAGTGTTGTATTGCTGCACAAATCTCAGAAAGGCACTTATAAATTTCAGACAGATAGAGGACATCACAACATGTGATGTTCTGGTGTAAGAGATTTCCGTCTTAGTCTCAATTCAGGCATTTAATCAACAAGCTATCAGTCAGTCTGTCATTCAGTCAAATATATATGTAATACAATAGTAGTCTAAGTAAGCACTTAATGAAGATTGTATATGAAAGTCTATGACGTTAGCTGATCATACAAGGTTAGTTGTTAATAAACTTCTGGATATCCGACTCAATATGATTTGTTGTGTTCTGTGTTACATGTGCTAACATATATTGGAAGCATTTGTTATCTGTCCCTAATTGCTGTTGAACTGCATGGCTTCCTACTCCATTTCAGAGGCTGGTTAAGAGTCAATCACATAACTCTCATTCAGGAATCTTATGCAGGCCAGAATGGGTAGGGACGACAGATTTCCCTTCCTCAAGGATATTACTGAGCAAATTGTTAAAGAAAGTAATCAGGGCCGCAGATATACAAGTATATTTGGGAGAAATTGTTCACAGTCGAAAATATAACATCGAGAGTTTCTGACCTATTTTGCTGCCAAACAAAATTACATCAAAGTTCTCCCTCCAGGTATTTACAACCTGAGCCTTTCATATTTTCAGTAATCACACAAGACACTTCAGTTGCAGTGAATACTAGAAAACTATTGCATATTTAATATGAATGAGCCAGCAATTCTTACAAAGATTACTATTTTGGATGGTTTCAACTATCATCAAGACTTTGGTTTTACACAAATGGTGTGACATTAATGATACATGCTGAGATATACATGACAGCACATTTAATGGTGATACCTTATCTTCTGCATCGGGAACACACAACCTGTTAACTCATTGAAATTAAATTCCATCAGTTGCTTTTGAATGGAATTTGAACCCATGCTCTTACAGCATTAACTCTGGGCTTTTGGATTGATAGCATGGTCACATCAGTCTTATATCAATATCTCCCCTGTGGCACACTCCTTTTGACAGTGAACTGAGGTCTAGGCTAGAGCATGGGGCATAGACATTCAAATTGTTCATTCAATTGTTCAAATTGACATCTAGTGGAATGTAAATTCAAATTCATAAAATTGGGAATTGGGGGCTCTGGTGGTGTAGTGGTGATATCCCTACCTCTTGGCTAGAAGGCCATCTGTTCCCAGAGGCATCTTATAAAATCTCTGAATAGGTTGATTAGAAAATAGCTAAAATCAGGAATTGAAATCTAATCTTAACAATGGTGACCATGAAACCATCATCAATTGTTGTAAAAACCCATCTGGTTCACTAATGTCCTTTAGGGAAGGAAATCTGCCATCCTTACCTGGTCTGGCCTACATGTGACTCCACACCCACAGCAATGCAGTTGACTCTTAAGTGACTTCTGAGATGGCCCAGATAGTTACTCAAGGGAATTTCGAGATGGACAACAAAAGCTGCCCTTACCAGCAATGTCCATAAATCATGGAAACATAACGAATATACTGGAGGAATAGTTATGGAGTGTTAAAAATTAAATTCCAAACCACCCATCTTTTACTCCACGTGGAACAGCATATGGAACGTATGACCAGGTGTTGCGTGTTCAAAGGCTGCAATTCAAATCAGAAGTTTGGTTTTGTTTGTGGAGGAGGTGAGGCTTAACGTTGGATTGCTAAATTGGATGTTAGTCATTTTCACCCCTGCTGTGAGAGCCAACACTTCATCCTGAAGTGAGAGAACCAGCTGTTTTGGCTGCTGACTTCTCTGACAGTGAGGTTTAACTCTCAGCACTCTCCTTAGTCGCCTGTTCCCCGCTGACTGTGTTGACATTGATGACTGTGAAATGGGCAGTTTGGTTACAAAGAACACCCTGAAACTCAAAGGCTGCAAATTGGGAGAGGGTTAGCATCGTCAATTAATTCAGCCATGCAAGTTAAGCAACACACGATGTGTCAGCTCCCAAATTATTCACTTTGCAACCGATAGTTGCGGTTATATCGAATCATCGATTGACGGAATGATTACAGCACAGAAGGAAGCCACTCGTGCCATTGTGTCTGTGTCTGTCTGTAAGAACAACCCAACCATCTCACTCTCCTGCCTTTTCTCTATAGCCCTACAAATGTTTTCTCTTCAGATAACCATCCAATGCTCTTTTGAAAGCAATTATTAAATCCATCTCCATTGCACTCTTAGACGATGCACTCCACATATGACAAAATAATCTCCCCAGACAAAAAAAAAACACTAATCTGGAAATAAACTAACAAAGGTACAACCCTAAGAATTAGTGTCAAGATCAACTTGTAAAGGATGCAGAATTGTAACCGTCATGCCTGTAATTTACAAAGACATCCAAATCCCAACAATGCTGAACATTGAACCTTGAACTTTTTACCAAATCATCATTACTTACTTTATGTAAGTTGATCACCCATTTACTTCAATGGAAATAAAAATTGAGATATATAAATCAGATCCTTGATTTTCTGTTACTTGTGTTACACTAGTTCATAAATTCAAGATCAGTGCTGAAGTGTCAAGATAAAATCAAGCTCAGACAGAGTTCAGATAATAGGGATGGTTAGAGAAAGGAGTTTAGATGTAACTCTGTCCATTTTTAAGCCACATGTTGCATTCTTAATTTTGTCTTATGCTTTTAGTTTATATATTATTTAAAGCTAAACTGCATACTTTGCAGCAATTTGCCCATGATTTACATGACTTAAGTCAGGAGTGTGATGGAATGCTCTCTACTAGCTTGGGTGAGTGCAGCCCCCACAATACGCAAGACACTTGGCAGTATCCAGGACAGATCAGCCCACATGGTTGTCAACCCATACGCCGTTCAATATTCAGTCTCCACCAGCAGCAGTGTGTAGTATCTACAAGATGGACTGCATCAAGACACCTCTTGTAGCACTTTCCAAGCTTGCAACCCCTACTGTCTTGTAGGACAAGGACATCGACACATGGAAACACCACCCCCTGCAAGTTCCTTCCAAGTTATTCACCATTCTAACTTGGAAATATACTTCTGTTCCTTCTGTGTCACTGCATCTAAATCCCAGAACTCCCTCCCTAGCAGCACTGCGAGTGAACCTACACATCATGGGCTTCAGCAGTTCAAGAAGTTAGCTCACTGTCACCTTTTCAAAGCTACCTAGGGATGGGAAATAAATGCTGGTCTGGCCAAGTGTGCCCAGAACTTCTGAACGAATAAATATTTTTCCAGAAATATAGAAAATGTTGGTAAGAATTATTTTGCATTGGAGACAGCAAAGTTGGAACCTACAAGCTACACTGCAACCATTAGGTGGGAGGCTATAATTTAATTTGACCAGAAGACCATATGATGAAGGAGCAGAAGAAAGCCATTCAGCCAATTGAGCTCCACCATTCAATAAGATAATAATTGATCAGTTAATCCTCAACTCAATTTTCCTACCTTTTTTCTACAATCCTTAATCTCCTTCCTGATTAAAATTATGCCTATCTCAGCCTTCAATATACTTCATGACTGAACAACACCGGCTCTCTGCAGATAGAATTTCACAGATTCACTACCCTCTGAGAGAAGAAATATCTCCTTCTCTCTGAATTAAGTGTGCAACTGCTAATTCTGAGATAATGGCGCCTGGTCCAAGACTCTCCCACAAGGGGAAACAATCTTTCCCCATCCACCTCTGTCAAGTCCCCAAGAATCTTGTAGGTTTCAATAAGGCCGTTTTTCATTTTTCCAAATTCCAACAAAGACAGGCCCCCAGTCAATCTCTCCTCAAAAGACAGTCCATCCATTAGCTCAGTGAACCTACTTTGGACTGCCTCCAATGCCAGTATACCTTTCCTTAAATAAGGAGCCCAAAACCTGTTCACGGTATTCCGGTGCTTTGTAGAGTTTAACAAAACCCTCTTGTACTTTTATACTCTATTCCCTTTGAAATAAAGGCCAACATTGAATTTCCTTCCCTATCGCTACTAAATCTGGATGCTAGCTTTGTGTGATTCATTGATGAGTTCTCCCAGATTCCTCTCTTCTGAAGATGTCTGCAGTCTTTCTCCATTTATATAATATTTAGCTGCACTATTCTTCCTCCAACATTATGTTCCATTTACCAGCTTTTGCCCCCTGACTTAACCTGTCTCTGTCCCTCTTCAGACTCTCTGTGTCATCCTCACCACTTGCATTCCCACGTATTTTTGTGTTATCCACAAACTTGGTGACAGTACATTCACTTCCCTCATCCAGTATGACAAATCTATAGAGCGATTGCATTTTAAACATAAACACTCATAAGGGAAAAGTGTTCATATGAGTTGTGCGGAGATGTATGATATTTCATACCCAGATGAATTATCCTATTCATCATTTTAGTTCTTTCCCCTTGGTTGATGTGTACTGCCATCATTCTTGATGATGTGTTGACACAGTTTCAGTGCCAGTGTTCTGACATTCACGCCCAGAGCTGGTACAATGAGTTAAATGCTATAGGTTTCTTGAGCAACACATTCTATTTCTCACTGTGAATTGTTCACATTGCTAGCAGCAGCTGCGGTTATGTACCTCACAATTATCTCACCAGATACAAACCCAATCTGGAAGCAAGGATTCTTAAACTGTTTGGCTGGGAGCTTTTCACAATTCAAATGGACACCAGATATTTCAGATACCATTTTCAGATTTTATTTAAATCCCTCTTTAAGAATGTAATGTAAAAGCTAGAAGCAATTCAGCCCCCTGAGCCTGCTCCTTCATTTGATATGATCTCATTTCAGCTTCAACTCCACTTTCGTGCCCTCTCCGTAAATCTTTAACCTGCTACTAATTAAAAATCTGTCTATCTCCTCCTTAAATTTACTCAATATCCCAGCATCCACTGCACACAGGCGAAGTGAATTCCACAGATTCACGACCCTTTGAGAGAAGTAATTCCTCATTATCTCTGTTTTAAATTTGCTACCTTAAAATGACTGCTTTACTTCCTCTCTGTCAATCCCCTTTAGCACCTTGTAGTCCTCAATTAGGACACCTTTCATTCTTCTCTCTCCAGAGAGCACAGCCTAAACTGCTCAGTCTCTCTGCATAAGGCAAATCCCTCATCCCTTGTAGAGGCATGGAAATTTCACAAGAGGACTTCACTGAAAAATAATTCATTGCATACCCATTGGTGTTTTACAGAGGTTAAAAAGTATGCAATTTTTACACTATGGTTGCTGTCCTTCACAACTGCGCTCTCTTTTTACCGAAAGAGCTTATATATCATACCGTCGTAGAGTACACAGAGTTATACAGCACAGAAACAGACTCTTTGAGCCAACTTGTCCATGCTGGTCAAGTTTCCAAACTAAATTAGTCCCACCTTCCTGCTCCTGGCTCATATTCCTTCAAACCTTTCCTACTCATGAACTTATCCAAATGTCTTTTAAATGTTGTAACTGTACCTGCTTCCGACACTTTCTCTGGCAGTTTATTCCACACATGAACCACTCTCTGTGCAGAAAAGTTGGCCCTCAGGTCCTTATTAAATCTTTCTTCTCACACCTTAAAAATATGTCCCCTAGTTTTGAACTCCCCCGCCCTAGGGAAAATACTCTTGTTATTCATCTTTTCTATGCCCCTCATGATTTTATAAACCTCAATAAGGTTACCCCTCAACCTCCTACGCTCCAGGGAAAAAAAAGCCTTTCCAGACTATTTTCATGTTTCAAACCCTCCAGTCCCAGCAACATCCTGGTAAATCTTTTCTGAACCTTCTCCAGCTTAGTGATATCCTTTCTATAACACAGCGACTAGAACTGCACGCAATAATCCAAAAGTGGCCTCACCAACATCCCATACAACCTCAACATGATGTCCCAATTTCTATACTCAAAGGTCTGAGCAATAAAGGCAAGCATACTAAGTTGCTTTTTAACCACTGTCTACCTGTGATACAAATTTCAAAGAGTTATGCACCTGAACCCCTAGGTCTCTCTGTTCTACAACTCTACCCAGGGCCCTACTATTAACTGTACAAGTCCTTTCCTTATTTGTTTTACCCCAATGCAATACCTCACACTTATCCAAGTGCCACTTGATCTGCCACTCCTCAGCCCTTTGACCCAATTAATCAAGATTTCTTTACAATCTTTGATTACTTTCTTCACTGTTCACTAAACCACTAAATTTGGTGTCATCTTCAAACTTGCCCCCTGTATTCTCCTCCAAATCATTTATATAAATGACAAACAGAAGTGGAGCCAGCACCAATCCCTCAGTGTAGTATGTTGGAGCTCTACAGTTTTCAGAACTCTGAGATGCAGAAGCATCTGGTTGCTCTTGTGTATGATTTGCAAGAGGTTAGTATGCAGGTCCAGTAAATATTTAGAAAAGCTGATATAATGTTATCATTTATCGTGAGCTGAATTGAATGCAAAAGTAGGGAAACTGTGCTTCAGATACAGAGGACACAGGTGAGATTGCATACAGAGATGAGGAAGAATTTCCTGTCTCAGAGAGAAGTGAAACTGTGGAATTATTTACCACAGAGCGCTGTAAAGGCTGGGTGTTAAATATGTTCAAGGCTAATATAGATAGCAAAGAAATCAAGAATTGTGAGAAAAAGGCAGGAAAGTGGAGTTGAGAATTATCAGATCAGCCATGATCTCAGTGAATGGCAGAGCAGTCTCGATGGGCTGAATGGCCTACTTCTGCTTTTGTCCCCTTCAGTGCCAGTATTCTGTCATACATGCTCAAAGCTGGTACAGTTAAACACTATAGTTAAATACTGTGCAGAGTATTGGTCTCCTTATTTAAAGAAGGATGAAAATGTATTGGAAGTGTAGTGATTATAATGAGGTCAGCCAGGTGGACCTCATAGAATATGAGTTCCCTGACTGGAGTTGTTAACTTGGTCCAATTAGTGAGCCCTAACTGACAGATATAAACAGGAGTGTCAGAGGTTTTGTTCACTCTGAGAGCTGGCTCTGACGGAGCTGGATCAGTGTCAAGGACTCTCCATGTGTAAATAAAAGGGGATTTAGTAATAGGATACTGGCCTCTGTGGAGTTATTTCAGTGAGCAGTTCAGAGGAGGTTCACCAGACTAATACCTGGAATAGACAGGTCGACTTACATGGAAACATTGGACAGATTAGGCCTGTATCTGCTGGAGTTTAGAAGAGTGAGAGGTAACTTCATTGAAACATATACCATCCTGATGGATTTTGACCAGGTTAATGTGGATAGGATATTTCCTCTCATGGGAGAATCTAGAACTTGGGGTTAATGTTTAAAAATCACTCATTTAAAACAGAGATTAGGCTAAATTTATTTCTCTGAGTTTTTAGAACTCTCTTTTTGAAAAGATGGTGGAAACGGAGTTCTTAAATATTTTAAAGGCAGAGGTGGATAGATTCTTCCTAAGCAAGGGATGAAAGGTTATGTGGGGTAAAAGGGAAATTGAGATTACAGTTAGATTGTGCATAATGTTATCGCAGGCTGAAGGTGCGAAGGACTTAGGCACTGAAAGTGCTGCCAATCATTTGTATGTTGGTATATAGACTCGTGTAGTTCAACATTGGGGATTGCTCATCCACCTGCAGCCACGACAAACGATTTATGCTATGTGACTGTTGCCTCACCAGTGAGGTACACATCATATATTTGGGTAAATGTTTCAATGAAGCTTAGCCAGAGGCTGGAAAGACTTCTCACTTAGAGGCTGATTCTTGAGCAAAGCAAAACTCTGGCTGAGGGTCTCGATAATCAAAAGCATCCTACACTTTGTCCACCACTGGTCTAAACAACATTAAAGTGAGGTGCAGTGCAAAGAAATGGAAACAAAACAGCAGCAATACTGATACTGACCTGTCTCGGTTGCTATGACGGTAATATTATGCCATGGCATTTCTTCCCGGTCAAGAGGTTTCAAAGTTACAATTGATCCATTGGCGGAGTTTATGTTGAAATATCTGTCCAAATCAGTATGTCGATCAATTGAGTAACTGAAAGATTCAAATCAGAAAAGCAATTTATGCAACTTATCACCAGTTTCCAAACATGTTCATAAGATCCACACTGTTGGTCTGATTTCTTTGTTGATCCCTGACACATCTCAAACACCTGGACTCTCACCCAGCAATTGGCTTCCTGAATCAGTGCGTTGTTCTCTGCTCAGGACCTTGTCAAATGCCAGCAGGATGATTGGTGCCAGTGAATTTATCTGTAAAATCCCGAATAAATAAGTATAAATTCTTGTGATTGTTTGAAATTTGGCATCTGTCCTGATGAGTGCAAGATGAAAATCTTCAGCGACAAGTCTCCTTTCACCAAAATTCATTTAGCTGTCAAGAAAGCAGCACCTTCTCAAAGGCAATCATGGATTGTTGGTAAACATTATAGAATAGAAACCCTACAGTGTGGAAACAGGCCATTTGGCCCAACAAGTCCACACTGCCCCTCTGAAGAGCATCCCACCCAGACCCATCCCCCTACCCCAGCATTTCCCACATCTAACCCACCCAACCTAAACATCCATGGGCAATTTCCCATGGCCAATCCACCTACCCTGCACATCTTTGGACTGTGGGAGGAAACTAGAGCAAACCCACACAGTCACAGGAAGAACGTGCAAACTCCACACACACAGTTGCCTGAGGGTGGAATTGAACCCATATCCCTGGTGCTGTGAGGCAGCAGTGCTAACCACTGAGCCACCATGCTGCCCCAATTATCTATATGTAATCCCATAAAGCAAGAAAACAAAACACGCATGAGGAACAATAAAAGTAAAGGTACAGTCTCTATAGCCCCACCAGAGCATTGAGCTGCTCCCTCATTAGGGAGAGAACACTGGTTCTGATGAAAGGTCACTGGACTCGAATCATTAACTCTGTTTGTCTCTCCACAGGCCTACTGGGTTTCTCCAGCAATTTCTGTTTTAGATTTCCAGCATCCAGAGTTCCTCGTTTTATTTTATATGAGAGGAAATTGGTGGCAGTCTCGGGCAAGGGGAGGGGTTGAGAAGGAGAGCCTTTCATGGTAACCACAGCCAGAGCATGAATTGAACCCACACTGGAAGTGTCCATTTGTATTACAAATCAGCTGTCCAGCCAACTGAGCTAACCTACCCCCAACCAAGGCATGCTAGGCTCCATGAAATTGCACCCCCATCATGAAAATAAAACCTATACGAAAGGACAGGAGGAGAGAAACTCGCCAATAGTAATAAAATAAAATGTGTCTGAAGATCAAATAAAATGTGTCGAAACATAAACTTACAAAGAGTTGTTCTCTGGTATGTGGTGGCAGTGAGTGGGAAGCAGCAGGTTTCTCATGCTGTGAGTTCTGATCAGAGCCATCTGCCAGCGACAAAGTGCTAAACACAGGAAAGATCATTCCCAAAGCAAGGAAAGAGAAAAACCTGGGAAAGTGAATCATGTTTTACCCTGTTTGTGTGCACTTGTTCACAGTGCAGCATCTTCAGAAAGCTCCAGGCTGGAGGGTCAGCGAAAATGTGAGTCAAAGGAATGACATACAGTTTGCTGAAATAATTTTCATTTAATCTAGAGTTGTGAGACAAGTTGAAATCAAGGCCAGTTACAAACATACCTTTAAAGAGCATGAATTACATATTCTACCTTATTCTCGTATAATTCTCTTCACACAAAATGGAATTACAATTGAATCCTGTAATTGGAACTCGAACTGAACACCTTGCCTTTTCTAGTTTCCAACGCTCTCCCCATGGTACCAACCTCCTTCAGCTAATTCATTCTAATCTTTGGGTTCTGTCTCATGGTCAGTTTGCCTTTAAGGGACTTGCTAATGATATCAGCAGTATCTTACAGCCAATGTCGTGAGGGTGCAAAGATCATATCCTGCATCTTACCTCAGATCACTTGCAGCATGACACTGTACGGGAAGCATTCTCCTCTGTTGCACCCTCACAGCTCATTCTTAATCCAGCCACAAACATGCAAGAGTAATGTAATGTTTGCACATACAGTTAGCTATAATAAATGCCTGTTGGTTTCTTGAATACCATGATATCCACACTCGGTTTTATCTACAGTCAGTTATGGGAGATAAAGACTGAGATAAGGTGAAATGTCTTCACTCACGAGAGTGGCGAGCCTGGGGAATTCTCTGCCACAGAAAGCGATTGAGACCAAAACATTAAATGTTTTCGGGAAGGAGTTAGATGTAGTTCTTACAGCTAGAGAATTCAAAGGGTCTGGGGAGAAAGTGGGCACAGGGTACTGAGGTAGATGATCAGCCAAGATCATACTGAATAACAGAGCAGGTTCAAAGGGCTAAGTGGCCTACTCCTGCCAATATTTTTCTCTGTTTCTGTGTTTCAATAACATAGGAATTGTCATATGGAGTTGGAGACAAGCTCACATCACAAAGTAAACCAGCTTCCCTTGGACATTATCACGTCGCCTTGTAAGTGCATCCTTCTGCTCAAGGTTATTCTTCCCCTTCTTTTTCCAAATCAACATCACCAATATTTCCAAGACCACCCCTCGACTGCCTACCCTTCCTTTACTGACTTTTGCCCTATCTCCTACCTCCTTCTTCGTCAAAGTTGTTGCCACATTCCAAATCAGTGCCTATTTCTCCCACAGCTCTACACTTCACATCCTTCGACAGTACCTGAAGAGTTGCTTGTCTGTGACCGGAAAATGTTGCATCCTTTCATACTCGATTCATCTGAAGCATTTGATGAGTTTGCTCACACTGTTCTCCCCTTCAAACACCCCTCCTCTGATCAATGATTTCTCTTCCACAACTGAAGTCCAGAAAAGATTCAGCTTAAGTATCTCAGAGATAGTAGGAGCTGCAGATGCTGGAGTCAGAGATAACACAGTGTAGAGCTGGAGGAACACAGCAGGCCAAGCAACTTCAGAGGAGCAGGAAAGTTGACATTTTGGGTTGGGACCCTTTTAAAAAATAGGTGAGGGTGTGGCTGAGAGACAGAAAACAGTGCCGTAGGTCGTAGGAGGTTTGCAATTTCTCAATGACATTTCACTGAATCCTTTGTGGGGAGTGTTGCAGGTATGTCATCAGATTGTTGTGGAAAATACGATTTATGTATCACTTTCTGGTATTTTCTGGATATATGGGAAAGTACCACTGCTAATTTGGACATTTTAATGCCAAAATCTCCAAAAGCTTGCACAGTATAGGATGTGTTCCTCGTTTGAATGCATTATAGACATAATTCTCTGCATATACATTTGGAAAACATATTGCTTGGAAAGTCTTTTGCCCCTTCATTCCTTCTGCCTTCAACTCTATCAAAAATGTTGTTCTCTACTCACCACCTCACCACCACCACCTCCCCCCCACCCCACCGAATCCCTATCAGCCTCTATAACCCACTGCATCTTTAACCTTTTCAAATTCTGATGTGGACAAAACCAGGAACAGGGTACTGAGTAGGATGATCAGCCATGATCACATTGAATTGTGGAGTGGGCTCAAAGAGCTGAATAGCCAACTTCTTTTCCTATTTGCTAAGTCTTTATAAGATGTAGGAGCAGGAGTAGGCCATCTGGCTCATTAAATCTACTCCGCTATCCAATGAGATCATGGCTGATCTGATTATCCTCAACTCCACTTTCCTGTCCCACAAACCTTGCCTCCTTTACTGGTTATAAATCTGCCAATCCCAAACACATGTGCTTAATGGCCCAGCCTCAACAGCCCTCAGTGGTAAAGAATTCCACAACTTGACGACCCTCTAAGAGAAAAGAATTCTACCTCATCTTTATCTTAAATGGCTGACCCCTTATTCTTAGATAACGCTCTTTGGTTGGACACTCTTCTAAAAGGGGGAAACAATCTTTCCGCATCTATGCTGTCAAATCCAGTATATTTCAAAAAAGTTACCTCTCAGTCTACTAAACTCTGTCCAGTACAAGCCCAACCTATTCAATCTCTCCCCAAGAAAATCCTTCCACACTCCAGTGAGTAGTGGGTTTACCAGCGTCAATGTTGAAAGGCTGCTTGCCTCTGATTGGAAGGTGTAGAATTAGAGGTCATGATCTCAGGATAAGGTCAATCTAAGATGAAAAGGACTTTCTTCATTCAGAAGCTGTGACTATCTGGAAATGTCTACCTCAGGGAACTTTGGATGCTCAAGATGGGAGCAACAGATTTTAGGAAACGGAGGATATCAATGAATATAGGGATAAATGAAGTTGGGCAGAGATGTACAGCCATTGTCTTATTGAATGTTGAACCAGCTGGATGGGTTAAATGGACTACTCCTGTTCCTGTTTCTTATGAAGGGCATTAGGGTCCTACAGGGATGTGATGGAACAACAGCAGCTATTGGTTAGTAGGTCATTGCTCTTATCCTGGGTAGCCATGAGCTATTTCTATCAGGGCGGAACATTCAGCCATAATGATGTGTTTTCGGGTGTCTGACTGCTCACTTGAACCTGTCAGGCTGGCTGCAAACACAGGGACTCCTAACACAGCCCTTCCAACCCCCAGGGCACAGACTGTCTGTTAGCCTGACAATGCCTGTCAGGCTCAATAAATAACATTCACTATTTATTATTCATTCTAACAATCAGGAACCAGGAGTGACACATCTGCCTCCATTAATACCTTATGAAAAGCTGCCTGATTCTGTGCTACATCATCAGATTGGCTGGAGCTAATGCTGCTCCAAAATTAACTCTTTTAGAGCCATTACCTTACACACTCTAACTATTTAAATGATGAGAGGGGTTAGGGTCCAGTTGCATATGATCTGAGATCACTATGACATAGGATCTTACACACAAGCTCAATAGCTATAATTAAAGATAGCCTTTACTCTGCTGTTCTAGACAAGTTCAAGGTCCATTTTCTGCTTTCCAATTCCATCCCTTTAGAAATCATAGGAACCCAATAGTGCAGGTAGAGACCATTGAGCCCATTGAGTTAGAATTTATCTCCAAAGAACATCTCCAGACCCACTCCATCTCTGCAATCCCACATTTCCCAT